CTTGAGGGATTAATTGCTGAAGTTCATGAAAGTATTCAAATAAACTTGGAATTATTACAGTGCTTGTTGTTCAAGTAATACAAAACTTAATTGGGCAATAAAGATACACGTGGGGGCTGATAGAGGTGTCAAGTGTATGCTTTCCTAGGTGAGGGCTGCTGTTATTTTGAATGGTGAATCAATAGCTGGTGAAAGATCTGTGCAGTTGTGTATGTTTGGCCAAGGTGTGCTTTTGCCAGACTTCTTGCATTCCTGGGGTAGGACGGATTAACATGTCACTCATCTCAGTTCCTTTTCATATTGGTCACGCAAGTGCCTGTGTAAGGGTTGTATTTTTAATTTTCTGAAAGGTGGAAAATGGATGGAAGGGGGAAAAACCAAAGCATGCTTGCTTTCTTTCAGGATGGAAGAGCGTGGACAGTGTGCCAAAACTGGTGACTGACTACATGTCCAAAAAGATCAAGGTTGATGAGTTTGTGACACACACCCTGCCTTTTGACAAAATTAACGAGGCTTTTGAGCTGATGCATTCAGGAAAGAGGTAATGTTCCTAACACTGAAAGGTGTAGAAGACATTTCTTGATGAGACACTGTCAAAATACAGGTTCCCTGCCAACTGTCGTGTTTTAAACAGCGAGGCTGAAGGGTGACATACACCATGCACATTCATTCTGAGATAAGGACACTTTCTCTCAGCTTCCAGGCATGTGCCAAACACAGGCAGAGAGCAGAAAGCAAGCAACAGTATATAAGGGAAATACACACCTGTGTAAGGCTGATAGAGAGGACAAGTCAGTCTCACTGCTTTCAATGTCGCTAGAAGATTCTTCCTCACAAAATGTCAAGAGAATAAAGGAGAATTCACGTTAATACATTTTTACTAGTCACTAAGCTATTAGTCTATTGTAATTAAGTAGCAGATTCCAGTATATTTTTTAAATTATTTAGGGTAGATTACCAACACAGTCACCTACATTGTAATTTTTTTTTTCCATTGTAAAAATTTTTTTTTAAACTGGGGTAGAAGGTTCATATGTTAGGTTTGTACTTCTTCACATACAGCAGTTCCTACCTTTATTGAGATAAATGGCAAACTGGATTGTTCATACTGCAGACCTGGGCCATAGCTGTACAAACCTTCCTAGTGAGGCATAACTCCATTACATATTGGATTGACCCTACTGCTGGTTAAAAAACCTGCTGGATGTGCGATGAGCCTTGCTGCACTTAATAGCAGTGCAAGTTCTGATCAACTGCAAAAGCAGTGCAAAGTAGGGTGTTCTGATCAGAGAACGTGTTTGCACTAATGCAGGCAACTATGTTTATCCGTATTTAGGTTCATCTGCAGATGGATAAGTAGTTACGAGCATTATCTCCAGAAACCAACGTGATCTTTGTACTTGATCTCAGTCTGTATCTATGTATTGAGTAGGACTTTCTCAAAAGTATTAACTTTATCTGGTTTTTTACCTGCTTAGCTTTATCTCACGACTCCTATTATTCGTAAATCAGTTAACATAACTGCATTTGTTACAGTTGGAAACACTGCATTTATGCAAATTTCATCCAGCAGTTGCTCCCCTTTCCCGGTTACAAACTTCTGTATCGTTTCAGTGCTTTATTCTTACATGAGCGTGTCCTAGGAAATCAATAATGAAAGTTATTTAATATTTTCCGAGGAGCCTATAGAGAATGCTTGTTAATATTACTGTTCCTGATCAGTCTTCTTGGCTAGCTACTGAAAACTGACCCGTAGTTTGAAAAAGCATCCATTTTGCTAATAAGCATTACAAACCCATTTTTAACCAGGATTTTTCACAAATATTATAGGCATAAGCATAACTTTATTCTTACAAAAGGCAGAAGTTAAAATGAAAGGGAGGGGATAGATAGGAAGAAAATGGACTTACTGGTAACTTTTTTCTTTTTCTTTTCCATTTTAAGCATTCGAACTGTCTTAAAACTTTAGAGCCAAATGTGGATCTATTTGGCCAGCACCATGGTAACTGCCTTTTGATAATGGAACTTTTGATAGAGAAGAGAATCAAGCAAATGAAAACTCACTGGGACTAGGAAGACTACGTATTTTAGGGTGAGCATTCTGAGTATTAAATAACAAAAAACTGTTAACCACTGAGTAGCATTACAGAATCAGTCCTGGTTGTGGAGCTTCTATTTCTGTACTCCTTCAAATTCAATAGTGGCTAACTCAATCTACTTAATAAAAGCTTATTTCTAAACACAGTGTTGGAATTATTGAGCTTTGACTATGATTGTTGTGTCTCACTTGTTCTCCCCTAGTGATTTTACAGTTTGTGTACATGACAGAGGAAGAGTGTTCTTGAGAGTCAACAGCAAATGATGTGGGATTCACTGCACAAGGCAATTTGTTGAGCGCAGCCGGGGTGAGAAGCAGTGTTGTTTTGCTGCAGCCGTGCTAGAAGTGGCCAGAACTCCAGCAGTTCTCAAGCTTCTGAGACTGTTCTAGGACTACAATAGATTGCAGCATCCAGCTCAATCTTGAAGCCAACCGTAGAGCAGAGTGTGGTTGGATGTGTGATTTCAGTGTCCAGGGGTACCCATGTTCTCTTGGGAGGTCCATATTTTGCCTTATTTCCCATTTGTCTCACTGGCAGGCCTCTTGTGAAAGACCGTAGCATAAACAACTCTAGTCACTTGCTCTAGTAGTGTCCTCTGAGACTGCAGGAGGGCAGTTTTGCCATTTCCTTAAAGTTACTGGGAAATGAAGCAAACATTGCAGTCAACACTGCAAAAAGAAACAGCATGGAATTGTTACCTCCAGTCAGAAACAGGATCCATTCCACCGAAGCAGAAAATACTACTGTTAGAGCAAGAGTCTGCTCTTAAGGGGTGCAGGGGAACAACAGTATAGAGCATTGCGTGATGACGGCTTCGAGGTTTTGTGGGGTTTGTTTGTTGGAGTTAAGTCTTAAATTTTGGAGTGCAAGTTTTCTTAATCTAGTTGAAGTGATCTGACTGGATAAATTTCTTTGTATTGACATCTGGAAGCAGTGCCTCACAGCCAGAAAAACACAAGAGGAAGAGCAGAAAACAGACTGCAAGACCAGCCAGTTAAAGAAAAGTTAGATACATAAAAACTGAGTGTTTTTCAGTGAACCAAGGACACTGATTAAGAGAAAAGTTTCATGTTTTAAAGAAGCCTGGTCAAAACAACTGCTACACAGAATGCTGAATGCAAACCATAATCTTATTAGAAGAAATTCCCTCTCACCACTAACAACTGCCTTACCCCAAGACACTGCTATACAAGGACAATTACATCTTTTTCCATCTGTCATTAAAAAGATATCCCTAGAGCATTCTGAAAATAGTTGAGGTAGCTGCACTTCTAACTTCATTGCAGACAGTAAAGAGCAAATATGAATGTCATAAGAATTCAATTTTGAGCATCAGGAAGAAATAAAAAGTGGGTTTGTACCAGGAAAGTGAGCCCTCCAACACAGCAGTGAACTGTTTCTCAGTACCCTGTAGCTCCAGAAAGGCTGGCTGAACATCAGAAAGTTCAGTAGAAAACTTGCTGTTAAGCTGTTTCTGCAAGAGTACTCCATAAATACAAGATGTGATCAATACAATGTTAGTCCAGCATCCTGACAAACTACTCCCCAGCTGAACCTAAGAGATTTAAAATATTTATAATGGAACAGTTGTTCCTCTGTGCTAGATCAAGACCACACAACCATGTCTGTATTACATTAATACTTTAGAGAATCTGCATCTGAGAGTGTTTGTGGGAAGCTGGTCACGGTAAGTGAACAACAAAGACGTGCAGTGATACCAGAGCATCTGGGTCAAGGACATGCAGCTTCTTCCCAGTTTGAAGAATTGATGTTCTGGCCACGGTGTAGCAGAGCTTCCAGACTACTCTGTCCTGCAAAGCCCTCGATTGTATGGAGCATGTTTGAAATAGTTTTTTTGAAGTTGTTGAGCAAACAAAAGGACTCAAACACAATTGCATGTTTGATGGTCAAGGTACTGTACCGAACTGCACCATTGAGACAATAGTAAGACCTTCAGCTGACAAAAATTTTCCACCAAATGACTGTACATGAAATGTGCACGTACTCTGCTGGCTGTCGTGTAAAATATGCAGTTTCCCCCCTCTCCTCATGCTGTTACTTTTATTCAATACTGTCAAATCTTCTGTCTTTAAATATTCATGTCAAATTGCAGAAAGAGCATGAAGAATTTCCATAGTCTCTTACATGACAGTAAAGGGAAAATATTATAAGGTATTGAACTAATTGCAGGATTATGTTTTTGGCAAAACTCTATCTAATTTCTAGAAATAGTATTAGAAACCAGATTTAAGTTATGTTTAAGTGGATAGCAACTTATGTTAGAATCAAAAATATTTCATTTCCCCAGTCCAGTCAGCACAAGTCCAATATGTCATGTTCAAGCAAAGACACAGCTAGATAGGTGAAAAATAGCTTTTCACAATATTTTTATTTATTAAGTTTTGTTCTCAAGTCTGATGTGCCATCTCACGTTGAAAGAAGTGGTATAGATGCTAAGCTTTCCACTCTTTTAAAAATAGTGTAGTAGTATGGACTCAGTACAAGGAGGTATCATGCTGTGATTTCCATTTACAGGCAGAAATGCATAGCATCATAGACTGCCTGTATTAAAAATGCGCAGTGCTAAAATTTGGTTGTATTGGTGCAACAACAAAGAAGTAGGTATTCAAGTGGCACGTGTGTGGGTTTAAGGGGGAGTTTTAACTGGCTGCGTCTGGTTGTGCGCACCTGCCCATTTGGCAAACCCGGATATAACTGAAGATTCTATGTCTGGTTTTGGATTCAAAAAAAAAAAAAAAAAAAGTTTTTCTGTTAAAAGCAGCTGCAACTTTTATTTTATAGACCAAAAATGAAGCCCCACCCCCCCTCCCCCTCACCCCAGTCTTACACACACACATAGAAAAGGCAAGACCGTTGTAGCCATTCAAGTGAATGATATGGTGGGCAAACCTCCAGGACAGTCATCTCCCCAGTACATCTCATTCAACACAGGTAAATCCACTCAAGTACTACAGTCTGTTTTGTTAAAAATCTATACACACACACGCACACACACATATGCACGCACACACCCTCTATATGCATCATTTCAGGTCACTTTTACTGCATAATTAAAAATAATAATAAAGGTAATGAAAACATCGCAATAATACTCTTACAGCAACAGAGGTCTGAGGCACTCAGGGCAGAGAAGACATTTTCTGGCAAATTTGGGAGTACAAGAGTCCAGTTCTGTGAAGCACTAATTGACCCCTTTTCCCCACCTAAATTCTGCAGTGCCAAGGGGAGCCAAGGGTATGCAGTACTTCACGTTCTTGGGTCCGTGGCAACAAATCCACAGTACACCTTGTGAAAGGTGTATTTTGTGCCCATGATTGTAGGATTTAATGTCTGCATTGGTTTATTTCTTGCATTACAGTGGTGTAAGACTAAGTCTGCAGTGGGGTCTGAAAAATTTTTCATTACAATTCAAAAGAAAAAATAAATCCCCTCAGCAGAGAAACTAAAGATTACAGAAGGGAAGTGAGCATGGAAAAAAAAAAAGGATAGAGAGAAGAGAGGTCTAATCAATCCACTCTCCTTAACATAACAGGTTCCAGCTCCTCATGACCCATTAACAGAAAATAAAGGGGTATATATACTAACACCGCCCACTCTATAGCCAGTCCGAGGAAGAAAAGATCAGTTTTCATAGCTGCCCCCCTAAGACTTTCCAAAAGCATGAAACTCACTCAACCGAGGGGTGAAAAAAAAATGACCCGTTTAAAAATTACCAAAAGAAAACAAATACAGCATTGAACATGTTTCATTTTCACACACTCAGACCGGTTTTGAGATATATACTCATTTCACCTAAAGTCTTGCAAATCCACTCCCCCACAGCTACTGTGGATGTACCTTTAAGAAACGCCCCACAGTTAACACACATAAGGGATCCCATGAATCATGGGACCTTTTTGGTTCTTGTTTCATTCCTTTACCTAGGCAAGTCTGATACAGCAGCTTCGCCAAGCTTTTGGAGCGGGAGGCTGCCTGCAAGTACTGCTTCGCCAAGAAGCAGCTTATTCCAGGGAGCTGCATATAGAACAGGATTTATTAATTTTCTCTATAGGAAGCCCATACTATCAAATCTCCAGCAAGAGAAACAAGTCCTGCCATTAACACAGCATGTCACCTACAGTTGGAATCACCACAGAAGCCATCAGCAGAGAGATGGGGACAGAAGTAAGGCTGCCTGCTCTCAGATGTGTTTGTCTTTCTCCCTTCTGCCTCCTTCTCAACTGATAAACAAACAAGGCCCAGCCCATTAGAACAGTATCTGCAGAAGCAAGTCTTTGGAACTAGAAATGCTTAAAATCTCAGGTGCCACTCATATGCCAAGAGCAACAGGGCACACTGAAGTGGTGAAAAAAACCTGGATCCCAAAATATCAAGTCCCGGTGGGAAAAGTTACCCACGCTTTTCTAGCTAATATCATGGCAGCAACAGAAGCAATTGTGGGTCTAATTGGAAGGAAGGTGCTAAAGAGATAATTGAAGAAAAAAGAAAAATATAGTGTGAGTGTTGTAGGTAGTAGGAAAGCAGGAAATTCTTTAAATTCTTCTCTGCTTTTCCAGACATTGAGTCAGGTTCTTCAAGATATTCCTCTTAATCTACAATCACTGAGAACAAAGTAAAGGATAAGATCTTTCTATTCTGTACTCTTTAAAAAATGCATAGTACAGAGACAAAAAATATAGGTATGTATCGCTCCGATCTCCCTGCTCAGCCTGGACTCTCACTGGGACATGAAATGGGGACGAATGCTATCCAGCCGCCGGGTCAGGATCTCGCAGCCTGTGTCGGTGACCAGGAGCGTGTGTTCAAACTGGGCTGACCGCTTTCCATCTCTCGTCACCGCAGTCCAACCATCAGGCCATGTCTCATCTTGCCAACCACCTAAAAACAGAAATGGTGACTTTTAGCCAGTCTTCAAAGCAACAGGTAACAGTTCCCCAAAGAGAACTGAAAAAAATCTGTCAACTATACAGAACAGAACCAGCATCCTGGTCCATCACTACTTAAGAAGTAAGCCAGAGTGACCATTTTACTCTGTTGATAAATTGCTCACCTTCACAGATCATTGGTTCAATTGTAAATACATGACCTGGCTTCATGACTCCAACTGCCTTATTTTCTGCAATAAAATAAACACTCAAGTTAGAAAAAGGGATACCATCCCAGTAAATGAATGAATCCTTGTCCTAGAATAATACAGAGGCAATACTGTAAAGTCAGAAAAGCCCTTCCAAGATGAGCTGTTCACTTGTCCATTTTTACTTCTACGCTAAAATTTCCTTTAATTCTTTCCTTCCCCCCCCCTCTCCCCCAACACTGAAATATTTACTCAAGGAGCTTAAAATTAACTGCTGTCTTTCTCTCCAGCAACTAGAATTTCAACTCTAGCTCTATAATAACACCGAACAAATTTAATACAGGAATTTCTGAACACTTCTATAATGAAAAACATTACTAAAAAAAAACTACCAATAAAAAGACGCACTTAAGATAACCAGAGAAGGCTTGAAACCTCCTTATTTGTTTCCACTGAGCCATTAGCTCCAGTAAACGGTCAAAATATGACAGCGGTTAAGTAATCCCGTGATTCCGTTTATGAAAGACACACTGCCCCCCTCATTACTCTGGGTAATGGGGTCATAACAGTGTCAGAGTGATAATGCTGTGTTCTTTAGCGAACATAAAATAGCGAAGAATTTCTAGGCACCCAGGACGAGAAGACAGGAGCTTTTTGATGTTACATGCACCAAAAATATTTACATGGAGGCACATGAACTGAAGAGCAGCACAACTCCAGGAGTGTAGTTTGACTGAAGAAAGGTTTCAGCCCTTTTCCACTGCCCTGTTTCACCTAGAACGGCAGTGCAGCTTAGATGTGATTCAGCCTGAGGGCTGGAACAGACTCCAGGATTGCATAGGAACAATTAGCTCCAAGTTACTTTGGTGCTGTAGACAATTTGCATCAATTTTTACACACAGATTTCCCCATCCCCCTAACTCTTAAATTGTGTAAATTTATTGAACTGCCTCAACCACCTAGAGGCTTTAAAAATCTCAAGACATCAAGCTGCCACAACAGCAACCAGAATATTTTTCTTTTACTTCAAAGGCCTTGTTTCAATCATCTGCTGGTATTTCTTGTCTCAACACTTATATTTAATTTCTGGTCTTCTGCATCTGAACAAATTTTGTCCTTTATTCCTTGTAGTTTTCATGTTTTTGTTAAATAATTTAAAGGCTTGTAAAATGAGCTTTTTGCTTTTCAAACTCCTTTCACAGTAAGCCAGAAATAAGCAGCAGAATTTTTTTATTTCTTTTTCTCCATGAGCCTTTAAGTCCCTCAGATCTTTTCACTTTGTTTTTGCTGTGAATCTCTATTTAAAAATACCAGAAAAAAAAAAATCAAACCCTGCACCTTTCTTTTTAGTAACAGGCATATTTGCTCAATAGAGGGAAAAAAAAATAGTTCAAAGTTCCAAAGAGCCAGGAAAGAGAGGAATTTCCATTTTCTTGACTTGAATTTTAATTGGTATAAAATGCTCTCCATCTTGAAAGAACCCAGATTTTCTTCATTTTACACAACAAACAGTACACACCAGGAATCTTGACACCCTTTTACCCCACAATTAACAGATTTTTTCAGATGCTCTCTGAAAAAATACCTTAGGGAAACAATAACATGAAAACTCAGGAATCAATAGTCTATAACCACAATGTGTTAAAGCTCATTAGGAGATGGGAACATGGAGGCACCTGTCAGGTCTGAGGCAATAAGTGACCTGTCAGGGAAGTATTACAGCTGAAGTGAGTGTGAACTGTTTCATCACAGCTTCCTGATAGTCACTCTATCCTTAGTTGTCCACTGGCATTTAAGTTTCCCTCCTTTGCCTCCGTGGATGCTGTTATTCCTTAGTCCTGCTGGAAAAACTGTTATAGGGCCATGGTTATTCCAAAAACCAACACTGCTGGGGTTGTTCCTCATCTGCCACACACTATAAAGAAGTTTCCAGGAGCACCAGATCACAGCATTCAAATGAGGAAATGTAAAGAAAACACGATCCAGATTCAGACACCACACCCATCTATCCTATCCAAAAGGGTTTTCATTTACATCTGGAAATGGGAGTAAGTTTTTCCTTAGACCTTCTAAGGAGAGAAACATTTGCCTGTTCATGTCAGACAACAATGTCCAAGAGAATTCAGTTAAGAATTCAGGCAAAAACTCTGAGCACTTAACCAGTACAGATAAGAGCTGACACTTACCTTTGGTGTAAGCACAGATTGCTTTGTTATGTAATATATATTCACCTTATTTAGGTTCACAGAGGATGCTACAGTACAGAGTTTAAAAAAACACCAAAATTCCCAATTGCCAAAATGCTAACTTGATCGCTGTCAGGCAGCATGCTACTTTAACAGAATATAACCAAGAAATAAATTGAGTGCATTCACTGCTAACCCCTTCTTGTCCACAGGACAGCACAAAGAGAATGAATACTCACTGGCATAATGTGGCACGTTAGGGGCCGTATGGAAAAGTTTATGGATTCCATGCCCACAGTAGCTCCGAACCACTGAAAATCCATTTGCCTGAGCGTGTTTCTGGATGATGTTTCCCAGTTCTCTGTACCGAACACCAGGTTTTACTGCAAAATTAAGGAGATATAGATGGAAATTTAAAGAGCTTTCCTTCAACATAACCATCAAACAGCACCTCATGGCTTGTACGTCCTAATCCACTAAGTATATAAATGAGTGCAATAACATCAGAGAGGGAGGAAATGGTCTCATATAAATGAAAAAACAACAGAGAAAGAAGAAAACTCCTTTTCCACAAGAACATTTTCTTCCTTTCATGGATGCAAATGCTGACTTTAAAAGGATGTCAAAGTTTGAAATTAAAAACAACCTGCAAAGTACTTGGTAAGCTCTCACACCCTGAGCTGCAGTGCTTCTTGCAATGAATGTATGAACTATATTTTAATACACACTTATCCCTCTACTACTGTGTGAAAAATGTACACAAAGGACCAAGAATGTATAAAATTAAAAAAAAAAAAAAAAAGGAAAATGGGTATCTCTACTCCTAGACAAGATTCTCAGTGACAACGCTACGGCAAGTAAGTGTGTTCATATTCAGGGCTAACTTTTTTGACAAGCCCTTTAAGAAGCCTTAAAGAGTTTGAAACACATGAAAATGGTGTGAGAAATTCACTTTGATAAGGGAGTAATAATATCATAAAACCAGCAGTGTTTCATCCATCAGCTAATGAAGATTCGTACCAAATGCAACCTTGAGCCACTAAAAATAAAAAATCATGTAAATGCTTTTTCAAGAGCATTCACAACTCCCTGAGTATATGCTGTTCCTTCAGGAGCCAGATGTCATGTGGTTGTACGGAGCCATCTTAAGCAGATTTCGCATAAAGCTAAAACTTTACATTAATAAACCATTTAATTCAATTCTCTGCTAATGTAAGCAACTACAACTGAAATCCCCATGTTAAATTTACAGAAAATAGTAAGAAAATCAGATTACTGAAATGTGCATACTTTTCCCAAAGTTTAAAAAAAAAAAAAAAAAAAAAGTCCGGGCAAGAGATTAATCTGTTGGTTTTGTACCCTCTCCCTTGGGCCTGACAGTACAAGCAAATCATTTCAGTGCAGCAGGGAGCCCTCTGCTTCTCTCTCACATAGCCTTCTCAGTTAAAACTCTCCTAGTTAGAGGTCTGCTGGTCCAATGCCAAGAAATTAAGACAATTTGAAGAGGGGAAGAGGTGCCCCTTTTTAACAGCTGAGACACGTGCTGCCAGAATCCCTACTCGCAGGCAATGTCTAAAATCCATTAAAACCTGTTAGAGCATCTAAAAAGATGGTAAAGAAAACTTACACTGAGAATTTAAATCTCATTATAATGAGCACAAAGGGGAATTTCTGTCATAGTTTATACATCAAAGCCAGGAAATAAAAAGGTAAGAGACAACACATGTAACATTTGCTATAAAAGTACAGGAGCAAAGATAAACATTGTTCTGGTTTAGCTCTGAAAAACAAAGCAGTCATTTCAGAATAATCCCACATAAACAGATAATCTACATTCTTCACAGCTCAACTCTGCAGTATTTTTTTTTTTTGATCATACAACGGATACACAAGACATCATTGCTACAGCTTTCTGTCTTTTCAGCTTGGCTAGCTGTCTCCAAACTAATAACTGAAATTATTTTCATTATAACTTCTTTTTCATTTATTTTTGATTAAATGCAAGTTTAAAGCCTTCCTATACAACACCTTAAACTTCAGTCTCTAGAGGCCTTGAAGGGAGTAAATTTTATTAGGGATTTTAAGAAGCTGCAGGGTATAAAAGACACAGATGATACAAGTATTTCCAGGGACTTTGGAGATTTCTGGGTTTATTTTCAGAAGCTGAACATGACTGAGTTACCTTTCTCTCTCATTGTATGCCTCAATGCAGCTGTCCTGAGCTATAACCGAGCAACACAGGTAAAGTTCTGTGGGTATTGAAGGACATGGATCTGTCTTCTCTGGCACATTCCCACAGCTGAAAATCAGGAGTTCCTAACTTGCTTTACGAAATAGCCACTCCAAAGGTGTCTTACCTTACTGGTCCACTGTGCGACACCACACAAATTATAAAATTAAGGTCTTCCAAAACACACTTTGCTTGTCACATTCTCTAAACTACTCCTATCAAGGGTGTCTTATTCATCTAAATAACAGTCTAAAAAGGCTGTTTCCATGTAAACATCATCATCTGTGGGTCAGCTCAGCACCAACTACGTTTTTTCTCATCAACCCACATTCCAAACAGAAACTGCAACCGCTGCCCACCGAACTGTGCCACTTGAAGGATCACTGCATTACACAGCATCCATCATCTGCTGGTGACAACACACCAGTGCTTCTGCACGCGGCAACAGAAAGTCACTCTGGGAAACAACAAATACATGTAATCGCATTTGAGAACCAAAACCTTAACGCCTCAGGCTCTGCCCCGAGGGTTTACCTGCATCGATGGCTTGCATTAGGCACTCGTAAGTCGTCTGGACAAGTCTCCTTGCACCCTCATCAACTTCTCCAACGTAAAACGTCTCGTTCAGATCTCCATGGTAGCCATTGCGATAGACAGTAATATCCACTGCAGAGAACACCAGACATGTTGGAATATCAGCACCGTATTCCTCACTTCTTGATTTGTGAAAGGACAAACACGTGAAAATGGGGTATTCTAACTGTGAAGTCAAGGTTACTTCGCAAGAATTCCCGATGTAAACTCTTCCAGCAGAATCAATTCTCTCATGCTTATCCTGTAGATTCTATGGAATTAATTAATAAGATACTGTTTCACTGGTGAAACATTTGATGTAATGAAAAAAAAAGGGGGCAAGGGCTCACAAAAAAATCCCACGCCAAAGCAACATAGACACAGCAAGCTTACAATGGTATTCCAGGAAAGAGAAATTCTTTGCTCCATGGTGATTTACCCAGTTAAAATACCTTCTTAGAATTAATTCCGGCACTAATAGGGGAAATTAAATTTATAAAGGTATGTAATCATGTTTTTGCATATCAAGTTGACCTCCTGTGGTAGAATGGGTACTTTGGTGTTTTAAAGTCTTTGTCAGTCATCTGTTGGGTCTAATAGCTGCTAGAAAAAGAAATATAGATGCAGACCCTCTCACAGGTCAACAGTCTTGAAGGAAACTGTATCGAGCAATACTACTTCAGGAATATGGTATATGAGCCACTGAGAGAGACCAGTACAACCTCCATAGGAAAATGTGGGAAACCACATACTGGTGTCAACAGTAAATCTGTACTGCTGGCAAACATCTAGGAATCAAATTAACACCCCATGAGAACAATATTGCCTGTTGTGGAGGGAGGCATGTGCAGGGTTATGCTATACTCCCTGCATGACTGTGTGGGACTACAGGAACGTTTTGCCCTGTGTACAAATCTGGTAATGTAACAACAGGACTGTACAGAAACCGACACCCTGGTAACATATGCAGATAGAAGTGTTTATCAGGGCTCCTTAGCAGAGTCCAGACTACTTGTTGCAAAGAGTCTATCTCTATAGGTCACATGATTACAAGATTTCCTCTTGGACTCCGTCAGATTTGGCCAGAACATCTCACTTTTGCAGACAGATCACCTTTATTTAAGGATTGTCTTCCAGGCAACAGTAGGATAACAAGATGTTAGGATGCCCTGCTCAGAGCAGGGGGCTCGACCAGATATCACCCACTACTACCTTCCAGATGACATTTTCTTGTGATTCCAAAATCCTGTTTGGACTTTGGCATGGCTTGCAGTAGCAGAAAGCATTTTAAATAAAGAGAAAGATGGGCACCTTGCTGTAATTGTTGATTGGTTACATTCCCTCCAAGGTACTTTTCCTATCTCCTACTTGTTCTGTTTCTTCCTTTAAAGAGACTTTTCAGCCACTATCTTACCAAAAGGAAGCCTAGTTCTTTCTCATCAAAATAAAGCAGGCAGTTCCAAGCTTGAGCAAGTGCAGTCAGGACAGGGATGTGGACAAAGATATGACTAAACTCTCTTACAGAAGGTGGTCTCTAAGGCTGAGGTACAGCCTTGGCAAGCAAATAGCAGAGACATAGGGCACCATGCAGATGAACCCAATCAAGTTGATTAGAGGGATGAAGCACCTCTACTATGAGGAATGGCTGAGGGAATTTGTATTTTTCAGCCTGGAAAAGAGAAGGGTTTATGATGACCTAATTGCAACCTTCCAGTACTTGAAAGGAGCCAATAACAAAGATGGAGAGAGACTTTTTACAAGTACATGTAGGGATAGGACAAGGGGGAATGGCTTCAAACTGAAATGAGGAGGTTTAGATTAGGAAGAAATTCTTTACTGTGAGAGTGGTGAGGCACTGGAACACATTGCCCAGAGAAGTTGCGGATGCCCCATCTCTGGAAGTGTTCAAGGTCAGGCTGGATGGAGCTTTGAGCAACCTGGTCTGGTGGAAGGTGTCCCTGCCCACAGCACGAGGCTTGGAACTAGACGGTCTTTAAGGTCTTGTCCCACACAAACCATTCTATGGCTCTATAAACTGGGCTGCTTAGTTTGGACTCCAGCAATGCCAGAAAAGCTGGCAACAATAGAGAGCTGTGCAAAGGCATCATCTTTGAAATTCAAGAAAGATAAAAGCAGTTTTGGCACACATTTTTACATATACACTACAGCTCAGAGCCATCAGTCAGATCAAATCTCCCCGGAAAGGGGCAGCAATCATGAGACTTGTTCTGAAAAGGCTCGTACTCACAGCACTGAGACGTAGACTTAAGTAGCTATTATTGCAAGCTAATATATATCAAAAATCTGATGATCTAAAATGATTCCAACTTGCTTCTAGAGGCAGGCCAAAGCCTAGGACATGCTGGGTATTTGTTTATGGATAAAAGAAAAGCAAACCAACGTAATAAAAGAAGGTGCAAGTGTTTGTTACAAGCATCGTTAATTTTTACTGTCAAACCAGGAAGAAATGAAAACAAAAACAAAAAAGGGTAAAGTAATTTACAAAAGTATCCCTAACCATCCAAGACAGTGTCAGTAGCTGAAGTACCATGAGCAAAAAGCAACTGGTACTGTTATGATGCTCCAAAAAAAGGACACGTTTTTCAATACACACCTGTACCGTACCTCACCATCAGGATCCTTTACAGTCATCATAATCATCATGTCCATAGCAAAACCATAAGGATCTAGAGCCATCTAATTAAGAATTCACAAAGTAATCCAGCTTGAATAATTCAGTACACATTTTATTTGCTATATATACAGCCTGGAACAACTGGGCAGAAGAATTATAAAGCCCTTAAAGCGGATCAAACTTTTGAAGTTTTTTTATTAAATAAACTCATGAATTCAAGTATGCAAAAGCAGAGTTTAATTGGTAAATAAGAACAAAAGCCTGTCTTAAGAAGATATTTCAATTACATTGCCTGCTAGTGAAACCTCACCTCACTGCATGGTTTTAACTGGACAGAAGGTAGAAACGCTGAAGGTCGGTTTTCACAGCACTTACCATTAACAATATCTCCCTCCTGCAATGGCCTCCTGTCAGGAATTCCATGACAGATCACTTCATTCACTGACGTACAACACGACTTGGGGAAATTATAGTAATTCAGAGGGGAAGGATAGCAATTCCTTGCAATACAAGCCTAAATAGAGGAATTAACACTTTACATTAGTAAGTTCTGCACAAAGAAAAAAAGGTAGAAAAAACATAAACAACAGCTTAACGATAAGAATGACAGGCTGAAAAGCAGTGACTCTTGAAAATAAGACTCATCTTGGCATTACAGAATTTTGTTATGCTTTGCATTTCTTACCAGGATGAAAGTAAAACTACTTCAATTTTGTTTCTGCTTGTTTTTATGCTGAAATATTCAGGTTTAAAACAATGCATGGCAATATTTATTTAGTCAAAAAAACAGTCATTTAGTCATTTTTCAATTACTGTTTTTAAGCACCTGGTCTAAGACTCTTACATATTTTTACAAGGCACACAAGCAAAGTAACATTTAGCACCACTCTTTCACCCTTAGCTTTAAAACCTTAAGCTGCTTCCCTGGCACTCTAATAATATTTTTGGTATTTCTGCAAAATGGACACATTTTATATATACTTACATATACATACACTTTGTGACATACTGAGCAAAATACGAAAAAAAAAGTATCGTGTTAACTTTTTTTTTTTAATTTTAAAAAATAATACTGTTTAAAAACTGCAAAGTACCAATTAAGGATATCAGTCAGTATCAACAATCTGACATGCAAAAGTTTCCAGAAACTGATGAGGAGGGGTAACACCATTTTAGCTACTAGTTATTCATATCAGACATTGTGCTTCAGCAAATAATTTGGTTTTTAATGCCGTTCAACAGAAATCTCTAGCCTAATGAAACCAGAGTAAGTCCCTTACAATTGTGGGTCAACAGCTGCAAATGCAGACAAAAAGAACCACAAAGCTCTCTAACAAACTTAACCGTAACAAAATCGTTGCCTTCCCCACAGTGGACACATCCATCCTCAATTATTGAACTACATGATTCATAGAAAAGACAGCAAAGAAAAAAAAAAATCACACAATTCAAATATCTACGAACAGTTAAGCCAGGAAAATTCTTGAACATGTATTTCAAATACTTCACTGGATTGTGGCTTTAGTTTGTCTGACTGCACCAAAAATCTTGTTTCAGTTCTCTCTGAGGCACCTCAGTTTTGATTCCCAATCATAAATAACTGAACTTTCTCCTCTGTATATTGTAACCAACGACAGAGAGCACAGGAAGTCCGTGGCCTACAAATTATGTTCTTTATATAATGGTATCTGTGGAGCATAAAAAACGGTTTATAAGAAAGCAAATTATATGATGCTAACTGAGAAAGCAGGTGAAGAAACTTATAAGAAACCTGAAGCCAGAAAACATGGAAGCAGCTGATACAGAGAGAGGCCCCTGAGTTCCTAACTCATGTTGAACCTACCATTGCACTGGAGCACATTTATAACATCTGCACTACCCACCTACAGATTGGGAAACAGTTCAAAATAAAGAAAACGAATTCATGCAAAAAAGAAAACCACACAACAATCATTCAAAAGCAGAGACAGCAGAAAGCACTTGGAAACACCAGAAGAAAAATAAAATAATCTTACTAAATGGACAGCATGATCAATTTCTTCAGTAGTTACTCCTGGTTTCACCATCATGGCAGCAACATCCAATACTTCTCTAGCAAGCTGCAAATAAAACAATTTAAAATAGATTTAAAATTGATCTATTGGCCTATTTTAAATAGGCCAGGACTACTTGCCAAAAGATTAGCAACCCATTTTGACAGATACACTGAGATTGCTAGGAAAGCTGTGTGGAGTGGGACTCTAGAAAGACCTTGAGGTCTTTCTAGACCTCATAACTCACCAGGTTACATTACTAAACCACCTCTGTGAGATTTGAAAATACCCCACTGAAGATTTTGGCCACAATTTCCTTGAATACCATAATCTTAAATCAGACTACCTAAATACATTTCAAAGTTTGACTTCATGCACAAGGAAGTGATTACAATTGAACAGCTCTTTTTAAAAAATTGCTAGGGATAGGGCTTTGTTTTGCTTTTGTTTTTTAGTTTTTACTCAGTACTCTAAGAGAGGAAAAAGTTCTTTTCTCATTTATGCACTATAAAACATTGTTAACAGCAATGATGTCTCAGCCACAGACTGTCTCACCACTAATAACAAAGCCAGAAAACAGATAAAAGTCATCTTTCTGCTTGTAAAACAGCATACTGTGAATTAGGAGCCACAAGGAGAGAAACAGCAAGAAAATATCAAGTCTCCTGAACTGTTTTTCAATGCTCTACACTGGTTTGAAAGTTGGTACTCTCCAATGTGCTGTCACAAACTGGTAAAATCACTACGGATTTTTAAAGAATAAAGGCACTTTGAAAAAAAAATCAAAAGCCCCTTACCCTACACACTACTCGCATCCCTTCTATATCCTCAGACGACAGTATTTTTATTTGAGAGGTTCCTTTTAAAGCCTGTTCTGATTCAGACATTCCTGAAAAGGGGGAGGGAAAAAAAAAGAAATAAAAGACCCATGTTATATATAGAGGAGTGATTAATCACTACACATGTCCAATCAAGCAACTTCCTTAGCTTACCAATGGCAGTGAAGTACACACTTTCTCACCACAGACTAAAGTAACGAGCCCACCAAACCATAGTATTATCATCATCATCCAGATTAACTTGAATTCATAAGCCTTCCACAATACTGTAATGCCCACATGTGCTCAGAAGGTCCATTCACCTACTGCATAAATGCAACCTTAAAAATCAGATTTACATGGAAATTACTTTGTTCACAGAAAAATTATTTTTAGCTGCCTTTAGAAAATAAATAGTAATAAATAATATTCTAAAAGAGCTGTAAAGGATTATATGATCTTGTGAATATATCTGATTATACTACAGCAGTAACCATCTGATAAAAACGTAAGTTCTTCCTAGTAAATTCTGTGCAAGCTCAGCTTTACAGATGAGCGACCCCCTAAAATACAGTATTTTGTGTTGTTTAAATACTTACATTCTGCAAAGAATAACTAAAGAACAGTGTAAGATTAAAAAAAATGCTAACATACTTTATAGATGCTCTTTGAGGAAATACATAGTACAAATACTGATATCAAAAGGGGAAAATACCAAAACAAACCAATAAGCAAATAATGCATTCCCTCTGTGTCCAAAAATAGCTGGAACTCATATATGAGTTTTCTCCTGGGAGTTGCTTACTGCAGGTTTTTGTTTTGTTATTTCATAACACGTTTTCTACAGTTGCACTGATGCCACTGAGAATGGCTTAGAATTCACCTGTGACAGTCAACTGATTGTTGTTTGTTATGAAGTCAACAACAGGACCAGGACTTGTATGTCCAGGAATTTTTAAATTCCCTGAACACCTCTCAAAGATAACACAGTACAAACTTTGGACTTCCTCAAAATACTTGTAACCATTATTTTTGAAAAATCAGTAAGTTAACAAGGGAAAGAAGTACAATGAGAAGAACACATACAAGAGGTTCTCTTCTCCAGTATCTCCTTCATGCTTTATAGGCATTTTTGATTAAAAGGAAAATAGAAGAACAGAAAGGAAACTCCATAATTGTGATTTGTTTCAAGTTACCTAGTGGGTGATCAGCATAGTCCGGTCTCTGAATATAACTTGGCACAGGTCTCGTTGGTGTCTAAATAAATCACAGGCAAAGCTGGTTAGGTTCCAAGAACACTTACTATAGTCACAAAAACTCACGCAGCAAAATTAAATACAGTAAAATATGGCTAAGTCCACTTAGAAAACGTTGTGACATACACAAACACTGCAGAGCACTTCAAATTTTCACTTCTCAAACACTCTTCTGTTACTCTTTATTGCCTTATTATACAACTTTTAGTATCCAACTCCATGCCTTTGTAAAAATCAAACTTATATGTTTAAAACTAAATCAAATCGGTTTAATAACATATTATCTCTGTTACATTGCAGTGTTTTTTTCTGCTACTTTCCAGAGTACAAGTGCACTGGTTCCAAATACATCCTTCCTCTCTCTCTAGCAAGACTGCTATTTCTAATCATCGCCATATTCATTAGCACTAGTTTTGTTTGCAGCAGTCCTGCAGCAGTCAGAAGACAAAAAAGCCACTGTTCAGTGATAACACTAAATTACTTGGCCAGTGAAATATCCAAAACACCCTCTTCTCCAGCAACACTAACAAACTCACATGGGCTCAGGCTCTGTTAATCTGTTCTCTGATAAGCCAGTAACAGATGGAAAAGTCTATAGCAGGGATGCCACTGGGACAGCATTTCCAGCACAGGCCAATTAGAAAAGACAAATGCAAGCAAAATGCCATTATTCCTGTAAAAAAGTTTCAGCTTATTCCATATACAAACTCGCACCAATTAAAAAACACAGCTACATGGAGGTCATCATCTTCTAAACCCACCTTTCACAACCCACCTTTCATCTTACTGACCTCTTGTTGTTCTTCAACTTTCCAGTGCTGGAGATTACTCTAACCTCTGTTCCTTCAGAAGAGCTGTTCACCAGTTCACTCACCAGGTTATTTCAAACCATTTATTTAAACTCTAAATTAATTCACCTGAGTTTTTCTGAAACAGACTGCTCCATAATTGGCGAGGACAATAAACAGCTAGGAGACATCATCTGAACTAGCAGTAGCTTTCTTGCAAAATAAATGTCAAAAGACAGAGCTAAAAGGTACGAGTTTAAGCCTGTTACCGATGCGTGTTACCTCAGTTCTTTAATTTTAAATATAAGAAGAGAACAAGTTAAATCAAAATGAACCACGATAAGGACAGTCATACATGTCCCTGCCATCAGGCTCAGACCGCTTAAGAAGCTTTCCTCTCTCTGCTAAAATGTGGGAGGTAAACAGGTCAGGGGTGGTCCATTAGTTGTTATGGAATGTAACAGTGCTGGAGTAAAGAGTGGCATCTACTGCTTACCAATGGATAGTGTGGCCTGAGTTTACCAGTATATCGATAACCAGACCAGGGATTTGTGTTAACGTCACCTTCCAGGGTCCAAGAGGACACTTCACGCTTGGCTTTTTCATCTTCTGAAAAGACAAGAAAAAAGGGGGGAAAAAATTGCAGCAGCAAAATCAGTCCTACTTAAGAATAAGAACTGTGGGGGTCTAGAAAATTACTTAGAAGTACGTAAGCCTAGATCTGACTCATTCTGGCATTTTAGATACCAATACAGGAAAATGTAAGTAGCAGTTATCATTCTGTATTGCCCTTGAGTTCTTCACATTCGAAATTCACAATTTTCCGACTCTATTCAATCACAAACTGGGGAATGTCAGGACTTAACGCACAAATGAAGTGTAGTAATTAAGTTGTTCTTCATTTGTAGTTTCATAACCTAGTGCTCATTTTCATTCCTGGGAAAATCTTGCACTCTAGGTGAACGTTACTTTCCTGTGATCTCTCTTGGCACCCAGTGACAGAAATGACCTGAGGTGGGAAGGAGGCCACGCAGCTGTCAGTTTCAATACATGCAGCCTGCTACCTCTCCAGAGCTGATGAAGGGAGTGCAGGTGCTGCCACTTCTGCATTTCTGGACAAGCAGTGTGCACACCTTACAAGATGGTCCAAAACTGCTGGAGGTTCCCAGCTCTCCTGACTTTGTGAAATTCATGCCTGATGTGGTCCAGTGACTGACTTCATTCACAAATAACACAGTCCTAAGAGGGCAGATTGAAGGTGTTTATGTGAAGGCAAGTAGATTGCGAGCATTACCAAAAGGAGAAATATTTACTCAGAAAGAGGAGGTAAGGGTTAAGAAAGAGCATGGTAGTATTAATCTTTAACTTGTAACATGATAACTTGTTTGTTTTCTCTTTTTATATCTCACCAGGATGAAGAGATGGCAAAAGGTCTGCCATAGAAAGCTCTAACGTGAATTCCTCAGTCTCTGCAGCTGATATCTGAGCCATCTGCTCACATGATATTCAGTTTAGATGAACCACTCAGAACTAGTAATTTAAAAATCCAAACTTTTTCATATCCATGCAGATACAAAGTAATAGGATACAAAATGCAAGTGTGAACTATGAGATGAGACCCTACACTAGAAAGGTAGAACAAAGGAATACATTTCTAATTGACTGTACAATTCAAACCTATCATTCAACATTTATCATGGAAAAAGGAGCTTTACTGTGTTTTAGGAAAGGAGGTAAATTACTTGAGGATTTGAATTTCTGACGTGCCCTACCTCCCTTTAAAGCAGGGCTTAATGAAGACAGGCAGGGTGATGGAGAGAGGAGGCAAGGGGGGCAGAACTGAGGACTGTTCGCTTTTTGGTTTTAAACTCGTGGAGTATTTTCACTACTCAGGTAAGGCAGAAGCTACCAGTCTAATTGTGTTTGTGTGCCAGAGCTACCAGCTGTAACTAAGGCATACAGGTAGTCTTATTACCTTTAAACTCAGGAAAATCCTAGTTATGATACATCCTCCTATCAATGGCTGCACCATGCACACAAGCATTTTCTCTTTTTTTCCCAAAGGGGTACACTCCAAATGTACAGAGAAGCTGCACTCTGACTTGCTCGAGTTCCAACGCACCAAGTGTCTGACCACAAAGACTTTGCACCGACGTTTCCCACTTTATTGTCTTTTATTGCAGTAGATACCAAAATGCTATGAAGGAACAAGTCTTACAATAACGATTTATTATTCACCTTGCCCTTTATTTCAGCATGCTTTTTTCTCTGTTCATACACCTGCCAGTGTAGCTCAAGCAATAATTCATACAAGTAGAAAAGTGTACAGAGACTTCTGTGCATTTCTGTCTCTGAAATTTTACGCAGCACTTAAGATTACCACAAACTGGTCAAAACTTCGATATGCAGAATCCAGTGCCCCATACCTTGGAAAAAACCCAACACCATTCTTAGGCAGAGAAGCACAGAACAGCTGAGGCTGGAAGGGATCTCTGGAGGTCATCCGGTCCAGTTCCCTGCTCACGCAGGGCCACCCAGAGCTCACTGCACAGGACAAAACCAACTGAAAACAACATTATTATGGATTAAAAAAAAGAGTGAACTTACTTGCTTTCTTGTGTAATAACTTGTGAGTGGCCCAGCTTCCCTTAAAGCATTCCTAGAATTGCAAAAAAAAATTATATAAATACGTGTTTTAAGTAGCATTAACATGGTCATCCTTGCAAAATAGAGAAGCGATCGTATTTTTATTAACCCTTATAGTAACATGCATGAAACTGCTAATCTCAACAACAGAAAATACTACATTCAAAAGTTTATTAACCAGAATAGGCAGAAAGAGCAGCCAAACACTCATGGCAGTGAAACACACTGATCTAATCCTATATACTAAATATTGTCCCCTTATTTTAATGAGGAACTAAACACCATGGTTGCTCCGGGCTGGCTGAAGCACAGAGTCTGTCTCTGTACCTGATCTTACAGCATTGCAGTGGGCTGGATGGTCCTCCCTTGGCTCCTACAAGAAGCCATCTCCTCCTGCTAACTGCATCCCTTCTGCCTCCCTCTCCAGCACAGGAAAGAAACAAGAAACCAATCAGCACAATCACAGGGGAACTAATGAAGTAGATTAAAGGGTGGGAAATGAGGGCTACTGAGCAAAAATAGGAAATGTGGGGAAAAAAAAAAAAAAAAAAAAAAGGAAGAGAAACTTGAAATGGAAATCAAGAATAGAGTGTGGAGGAGTCTGGCTTTTTCTCTTTTTCCCAAGTACCAATAGAGCGGTTGCACAGACAGTGAATCAGCAAAGGGGTAGATGGAAATGGTTGGCAGCTGGAGAAGAATAAGGAAAGACTAAGAGGAAGGCAAGACATGAAAAAAGAGAGAGATTTAAGTAGAAAAGCTGCAGAAGGCAGCATTAAAGGTGATCCTTTAAGGTGCTAATTAGCAAATTACTCGGGTTTTGTAGCAGAAATTCTAATTCAATGGCTATGTGCACTCAAAACAACCATTAGGAAACAGCTAATTCCAATCATTTACAATAAAGAAGCAGGAAGCAAACTGTTTTCCTTTATAAGGAAGGACAATACTAATGCTGAATCATCATTGTAGAACTACCATCCAGAGCCAACAACTGATTCAACCTAATGTATACAACACTCAAGCAGTCCAAGACAACAGATCTGTAAACTAAACCCAGCATGTAACATTCCACCTCTGCTTCATACTGAGTGGTCTTAGCTGTCTGCTCCAGTAGAACCATCTCCCCTTTTCCTCGTTAGTCTTGCAACCAGGAGTTACCCAAATGCATCCACAAAAACACAGTAAAGCAGTGCACAAGTACACCCATGTTGAAAAAGACCCTGTCGTGTCCTGTTTACCTCATTACCAAAACGAGTTGTTTGTTGTCTTCTGCTTCTTACACCACATCCCAGGAGTCACCATGCTCTCTGGAGCATCACAAGACCTGCTGCGGTGCTACAAAATGGTCTATCTGTGCAACAGGAGGCTCTGAAACTAACACTTTGGATGACCAGAGAGAACGTCCCTTTGAACGAGCAGCAGAAGGTTTTACTGTACAACCCCCTGCATACAGGCCTTTGCAGTGCACTAATTTCTGTTTTCTGTTGGCGAGCTGGGAGAAAAGGAGCAGGTTTTAGCTGAGGCCTATTGTAACAAAAAAATTAAAAAGATAAAAACGCTATTTTCCAGGGCACTGGAAGCACCATTATGGTTTTAATCCCTTTTCAAACCTGAGGTCTCTGTTCTGAAGCAGAAGGATCACACAACTAAGGACTTAGAGCAGCTACCAGGTATGCAAACCCAGAATCCACTTATTTGAATATAAAGGAGCGTTTGGTGAATGAAGACATACATAAGCTATGGTAATTACTGGTTGTAGTTCATTCTCTCCTTCCCATGAATTTTTGGGATATATTCTCCGATGTCATTCCTTTGCCCTATACCAACAGTCTTTTCCTCTTTGATGGCCCATAACCAGAAAACACGGCACCACTGACACCACCATAACCTGACAACAGGCTCCATTTTGGCTTCTTATCCCCTGCAGCTGTGAACAGCCCAAGAGGATCCTGCATAAGGCTGCCACAAGCCTGAATTTTCCCAAACACGTTTACCAGATTCTACTTGCCCTCCATCTCGAGAGGAGCAGCAGCTCCGCCAGAACTCCTAGAGCACAGCTCCACACGAGCTGCTGTACAGCGGGACGGCCCAGACACGTGGAGGTGTGCACATCCATCGCCTGCCACAAGCCTGCAGAGGCAGTAAGTCCTCAGCACTTTTTGTGAGCACGGGCCATTCCACGTGCAGTGTACAATTAATGAGCCTTGGTCTGACACCTTTGGAAGGCGCTCAAAGGACACACTGCACATCCACCTACAACCCATCTATTTTGTGTAGGATCAGTCATACGCTTCCTATCAGCACCGGACTTGCCGGGTACACACAAATTATTTATGTTCAACAACTCACTGCACAAGCACCACGTTGCATATGACTGCAGAGCTCTGCCTCGGCAATTCCAGATAAAAATACGGCAGCTGTCATCTCATGGGTTGGAGAATCACAGCCCTGGCAACAAAGCACTACCAAGGCACCACTGCACACTGCAAGCATCCTCACCTTCTATACCTCAGACTTCCTGACAAGCTATGGAAGAAAGCTGCTCTTCATCTGGGCCACTTTTTGAAAATTTTTGGGAAAAAAATATACTTTTCACTGAACCTTCTCCTAGACATTTACTCAGTATCTTCCTATTACCCTTCCTGTCTCCTAACAATTCTTCCATATATCTATACTCCTATATAGGTCATGATAGAAAATTTTCAATGACTAAATAAACCTAGGAAAAGAAAGGGTGATTTTTAATATTAAAATTAAGAAAATGAAGAATTTTTTTTTCTGATACGGTGAAAAAAGGGAACTTGTAAGACTGTATGGTTATATTTTAAAATATTAAATAGTTTCAGGGGGAAGTACACAGGAATAACAGAATCTGGCTTCAAGTTTCTTCAAATACTTCCTGGATTTCTTTTCAAAATCTACATTATTCATCAGTATGCCTGATATTAATCCCCCCATCCTTCCCACCTGAAGCATTTTTGGGTTTATGGCATGTAGCTTTTATATAGCAAACAGGACAGGCTTGGAAACACCGGAGAGGACTGTACAAGAAGAGAGGTTAAATGTATGACAAAAAAGAAGGCAGAGGGGTAATCCTTGATTTGTTTAGAGCAATCCTGGGTACAACTATTCTATCAGTACGAAAAATACGTGGTTTTCAGACAGAGGCTGTCAACATATTCAAACCTTTAACAACATTTCTGGCTTCAAGCCATTCTTAAATCAATCCCATCAGTTTTGTGTGAACCCAGTGTTCACCAGAACCTGTGCATATATGGAAAGTTAACCAAGGCACAACCAGCATTACCATCCAGAAAGATTCCTGTTGGATCAACTTGTGGAAGCCATGTTATTCCTGTAAATGATTTTTACCTTAAGGACTCACTCCAAAATCTATTTACTGATTGAAATACTGACAGAATCATTCAGCATAGCAGAATTACTTTTACAGTATAATGCATTTTCACTATTAACACAATGATTATTACCAAATAGCTTAAGCTTTTTTTTTCCCTTTAAATCAGCCTATGAAAGAACAAAACAAAACCCTTTAAAACAGTTATTGAACTAATTAGGAAAAAAATTTTCTGTGCTATGTTTGTTGTTATCTTTACAGTAATAATGGAGAGTTTCTTATTCTTTCGGTTCACGTATCCATGCAACCTGATTAGGAGGTGGAAAAGTACAGTGAACTGTCAATACACCTATTAGCAGGTATGCAAAAACCACCCCACTGTACAGTTACACAGAACTCCTCCAACTTCCACAGAATTACCCCCTCCACCTTCTGTGCTCATCATTTAGAGGCACTTGATGAATTTCCTAAAATGCTTATTTTACAGGGAAAAAAAAAAAAAGATAGTTGGAATCAAGACTGTGGGGACAGACTGTCTGTCTCTTTGCATGCCATTACACCCTGAATTGTAATAGACAAACATCTTGGAAACAGTGCCAAGTAGCACACTGTATTTAAAATTATTCTGAGCAATCATTTTAACTGAATTTACACATGTCCTTTAGAATGTAAAATTGTCTTGGGCTTAATCTGAGATCATGCAGTTTTGCTTAATGAGAACTCATTTTTAACCAAATACCTTGACGGTATGCAAAAGAGAAGACCAAAAAAACCCCTTAAGTACAGCATTTAGCTTAAGAAAAATATCAGGCTATCAGGGACAGATATATAGATAAATATATATATTACATGCAATACAGATTAACTGTACGTTTTATCCATAAATACAAGTATGTTGAGGAATGCAATTGTTAATACATCTGATGTTAAAATATAACAGTTGCTTCTCTTCAGCCTGCTGAAATCCTTCTAGGGCTGTACAAGCCCGCAGATACAGCCTCTGGCCTGAAAACTGTACAAAATTCCCAAACTAGCCTAAGCAGCATACGTGAATAGTCACTTTTTCAGAAAACTCAGATATGTGTTTTCAGATTCAACTCCAACGGAAGCAGCTATACGCAGCATGTTGGTATCAGATCAGCTTTCTCCTTCATCTAAAGCCTGATTTTAGCCTGAGACTCCTGGAACCCACATGACTGAGCCCTTCCTGCTGCATTTTGCAGCTCTTCAGATTTACAGAGATATACAAGTGATTTCTGAGAGTAGTGAAGGAACAACAGAACAGAGAAATACAGAAAAACTGGACTATCCTTTAAGTATATTCAACACCAGCTCAGAAAGCCTGCCTACAGGAGTCTTAAGTTTTACTCTCAGAAAGTTATGAGGGCTCAGTTTTTGTGCCTCAACAATAACCAGATGTTTAGCTCAGACACAGGAATTCATGGTGGTTTATAGGCAATTAAGAGTGTCAACTTCCTGATGAAGGAAATCTGTGAAAAGATTTTCTAGAAGACAGTATCTGCTGAGCGCCATTTATACCTGAAGTAATCCCTGTGTGTAGCAGCTGGATATAAGCAGCAGGTTTTAGAATCTATTTTCTGCACGGCAAAGAACAGTGAACCAAGAATGAAATATGGCACTTATGTCCTACAGTCTCATGTGAGAAAGGACAAAAAGTAGTTCCATCCACGTCCACTGCTCCCCACCTCCCACCCTCAACACACTGACGGTGAAAGGAAACAGCAAAGTGGGAGATGGGACAACAGCAGTCTTCTCTCCAGGACCACAGTTTTTCACAAATTACTATGACCTGGAGTCACACAAGCATCCGGTCTACACCACAGAAAACCTACTGTTTTGTCCAAGACACTTATAGAGATGTAAGTAGTATGCGAGAGGAAGTTTTCATGAAAGCAACACAAAATCTTCAACAAGAGATCTATTTACAATTAAAAGGTTTGCATAAAAACGATAGCTTAAGATCTCAAGAACAATAACTACTTTCCCCTTCTTTATCACTAAGCCTCTTCTGGAGGAGACATAGAAGAAATGTAAATTGCCCATTTAAATACAAACTGTTTATGTATACTACACACAATTTACACACAAGTGACTGTGTCTATAAGGCAGATTTCACAACAGCAAATTCATCTTAGCAAGAGAAACAATGTGCCTGAGACACTACTTGATTTACTAGTCTAAAATATTATGAAGGGTTAACAGCAGGCAGAACCCCAATGCAGAACAGTCCCTCACGTTACACCTTGAAACGCAAGAAAAAAAAAATTATACCAAAGGTTCAACACGCCACCTCAGAGCTCCTCCACTGCTAATGCCATCTTTACCCTGTCTCCACTACCAGCTCAAAACCTCCCTGCTAGGCCAGAACCCAGCTGCCTTGGCCCTCTTTCCATCCATGACCACAAGCATAACTATTATTCAGGGGCTGTACTCAGTCTCCGAGGTGCCCAACAGCCAGACAAGAAACAGTTGTCTTTCAACAAGTGTTGGCTCAAAGAAATCTCAGAGAATGTCAAAGTACTTCAGCACGAGCATTTTCAGGGCACGTTGTTGAGGCATACGTTTTGATGCAGAGAGGGGGGAAAAATAAATTACCAGAATAATGGCCTTTCTCAAGGAAAGGAGAAACACAAATGATAAATCCACCAGGGAAATCATTGTCTTGATGCAATCTACTTGAGAAGTTCAATTCTTTATGTGCAGTAATGAAAAATAATGCTTAATCAATCTCCACACTTCACTGAGATTCTCAGTTCTACGCCTCCTGCATTATTTCTTCTTAGTAAACTTATATGTTACTAACTTACAAACCACATTGCTTCATGCTGGTTACCTTTCTACAGAAAGTACACACTTTTCTATTGTTTATTCTTAGCACTGGAGAACATAAACTCCTAGAAATTTGGGCTTAGCTCTGACTGGAGTTTTGGCTATATGAAAAAGTCCTTGCAGGCTTCCAGGCAGTTAATTAACCAGAGCCTATATCCATACAGATGCTCAAGGAAACAGTAGCTTGTCACTCCCACCCCGCCCTCAGCCCAGAGTAAATGCCTGCACACGCAACCAACACCACTGCATTCCATATGGACGGGCTGACTTTACAGCTGGGCCAAACTGGGCCAAAACGCTCTTCAGCAGCGTGTTCCCCAAGTGTTTTATGACCCCACAGTGCACAGCTTTGGGGAGCTAAACCAGCAAAGGAGTTAATGCAACTGCATGTACTCCATTAAAAGAAAGCCTTGAAAACCCCAGAGGTGGCTCAGCTTAAGGGAAGCAGCAGAAGTGTGCATCCTTGGGGGCTACAACACAGGCTGTGCTGGGAGGTGGAATAATATCCTAGGTCTGTCCATTCACTAACTTATCTAACAGTTATTTATGTGTGTAAGACCACAATGGAAAGAAAACCACCAAAGAGAGAACTTAGGAGAAGATCCACAGATGATAACCAGTCCACTGCTGTCAGCTGAAACTTGCTGGAAGTTCAGAGAAAATTTCCTGGCTTTTAATCTCCTTCACCTGTCATGTGCTTATCTGAGCAGGCAGCCAGGTCGTCAGCAGCACCTCACCTACCCCTCCTGCCCGTGCTCAACAGACACCAGTGGAGGACTGCCCGAGACTCCTTCATGGCACGCACCAGATGATGGATGAGGAGAGCTGGAACCTCAGGGCAGCCCCGTGCTGAGCCCCACAGAAGGTACTAAGATGGTGCCAAGGGTCCTTGCTACAGGCTGAACATGGGCACTCTTCTCTCAGTGCATGACGTTTCTTTCCTGTCTTTAAACACACTGCTGTTAATTTCCTTCTCTCTTCTGTACCACGTCGCCCCAAAACCTTCAAAGCACCTTCCATGTGCTTACCTACTTTACTGATTAAGGAGGAACAACACACCCAAGGTCACTCAGAAGTGGGATTCCCAGTTCAGTATTTTATTTTCTAGGCAGGACGGCTTTACAAGCATGTAGTCAGTTATCCAGCAGCCTATTTTAACAAGCCAATAAATATTTCAGGTAATTCCACTTTTACCTTACAACAGTAGCAGATATTTCAAAGGAATTAAACCTAGTATACAGATAACAAAAATCTCTGCATCCTGTATGAAATTAGCTGATTTGGGGATGGGAAAGAGGCGAGTAAAGATGTAACTAGAGCTCTTCACACTGCCCTGTTTGGTCTGTTAAAAAATAGTTTTGTCATCACCAACTAACATTTGTATATGCTGAAGATGCATTATGATGAGTTTTATATCAGACATCAAAACGGGTAGTAAAATGCAGAGCAAATCCTCCAAGCCAACTACAAGCACCACATGGGAACTAGAAATACAGAATCGTCAGAGCAACTTTCAGTTGCAGTCGATCTAATTTGGCATTGACTCCCAGCATATGGCACAGAGACTTCAGGGGAAAGTACCAGAAACTGTGCAGTGAGTGTGTCACATGCACGTGGGAAGTTTTCCCTTAGTTCTATGCAAACCATAACTATCAGTTTACACCCGAACTCAGAAGAAAACCCTGCCAAAGTAATAAATTAATCTAGTTAATGTGACTGAATGATTTTCTTATGTTTATCTACAAAACTTCAGTGATTTTACCCTGAGTTATAATTGTGACAAGGAAGGTCAGCGGTAATCTCTGAATTAAATATGTGTCCTCACTGATTTAGACAGAAATTACACATACATAAAGTTCAAAGGATTAGGCCATGTATTACTGCGCATTTTAAAGTTAATAAAAAAACCCGAAAATACCACCCACAAACCAAAAACGCCACTCAACAGTCATAAGACAGTTCTCTCTATTTAAGGACCACACTCCATTACCACTGTGGTAATAGGTGAGGATGGCCGAGGCCTGCAGAATACATTTAATTCTCTGATTTACACGTGGGAACCGGTGGTTGTATGACGTGTGGCCTAACCTGAACCTCCCTGTTTGGCACCCTTAAGGTAAAACATCAAAAAACATATATTAAAAAAAAAAAAAAAGGAAGAAAGAAAAGGGAATTAAAGAAAAAGAAGGAAGAGTATCAAATCGTTTTCCTAAAACCTCATAATTTTAAATCTGTTTTCAGAGCAACAAGTCTCCCGGTGTCTATCAAAGCCGAGCAACTCCAGCGCCAGAGCTGATGCAGACACAGACGCGCACCCGCTGGAATTTGATGAGCACGTCTCACTTTGTCCCACTAAGCCCTTATTTTTAAGGGGGGGCACGGGGACCACCCACCCCTCCAGGCGGAGAAACACACGTGCCCCCTCTCACGAACGCCCCGGCCGCTCTTCAGCCCGCTCCAGTCCCGCATCGCCCGCGGCCACGAGGAGCGACGGGGCTCTCGCCCCGCCCGGGGCCGCCGGCCCGGCACCCCCTGCTCCAACAACCGGGGAGCCGAGGAGGGAACTTCGTGCGGGGTCCCCGCCCGGACCCTCCCGCCCGGGGTTGGCCAGGCCCGGGCGGGCAGGGAGGCAGAGCCGGGCACGCCGGGGCCGGGCCCGGGCGGCTGGGAGCCGGCGCGGGGGAGCTGGATCCTGCGCCCCGCCGCACGCCCGGAGCTGGAGCCGGGGGAAAACCTCACCTGGGAGCAGAAGTAGGAGCCCTGGATGCCCAGCTTGAGGCAGGTGGGGCACTGGAGCTTGGCCTCGCTGCTGCAGCCGGCGGTCTCGCAGACTCTGCGGGTCTCCACCGCCGCCGCCATGCTGCCGGGCGGCCACGGGGGAGGAGCCGCCGCCCGGAGCTGCCGCCGGCTGGGGCGAGAGGGAGGGAGGGAGAGCGGTGAGGGAGGGTGAGGGAGGAGGGTGTGAGGGCTCAAAGCCCCGCCAGCCTGGCCTTTGGACGCTCCGCAGGGAGTCCGCAGCTTCTCTGCGCCAGCACCTCGCCAGCCTCGCAGCGAAGAGGGTGTTTAGGAGGATGTTTAGTCTGGAGAAGAAAAGAGGGAGAGCGGATCTCATTAAGTATCTCAAAGGTGGGGGTGCCAGGAGGATGGCGCCAGACTTTTCAGTGGTGCCCTGCGACGGGACGAGGAGCAATGGCCATGAACTAAAACACGAGAAGTTCCACCTCAGCATGAGGAAGAACTTGTTTCCACTGAGGGTGGCAGAGCACTAGAACAGCCTGCCCAGGGAGGCCCTGGAGTCTCCCTCTCTGCAGACATTCAAAACCCACCTGGGTGAGTTCCTGTGTCACCTGCTCCAGGTAACCCTGCCTCGGCAGGGCTTTGCACTACAGGATCTCCAGAGGTCCCTCCCAACCCTAAGAATTCTGTGATTCTCTGAAAAACTTGTTGTGGTTTTCATCAGTGAGGCTATGCCAGAAATTTTCCAAGCATATCTTCTTTATTATGGAGTGTTGGTTTGTAGGGCTGTCTCTACGGTTTATAACAATTCTTCCACCCTATTTTTAGCCCAGGTAAAACCATCACAAATTCAACATTCAGTAGGGCAGTAACTAAAATTAGAAAAATAGGCTGCAGAGTCACAGTGGCATTGTCACAGGAAGGACACTTGATTTTCTTCCTGGAAAGAGAAAGATTAGATACCAATGATCTGTTATAAAAATAAGTATGATTGACCCACACATTACATTTCTCATATTTACATGGATTGGTTGGGAAAAAAGATACTACCTGTGCCTATAAAACTGACTGTGCTTATGTTCTCTGATTATTGTTGTCAAACCTAGTGTCGGTACAGAAAAGACCTTTAATATCATCAAGCCCAACTGTCAGTGTAGCACCACTAAACTATGTCCTCAAGTGCCATATCTACTTGGTTTTTGAGCACTTCCAGGGAGGGTGACTCTATCACTTCCCTAGGCACCCTGTTTCAATGCTTTACAACCCTTTCCATGAAGAAGTTTTTCCTGCTTCAATGACACTGACTTCAATGAAAGTACACCAGTCCTTTTTCTGATCTTAATACACAAAATATTCTCTTGATTTCCTGGAATGCGGATAACTACCCAGAAACTGTGATTCAAAATCCAAACTATAATCTCAGTATTTCCTGCCATTGTTTTATTCCCTGTGGTCTTCTGGCCCCATCTTTAATAAATAATAATAAAAAAAGTTCTTTATCTCTTAGACTTAGATGTTAAGTGAAAATTCTACTTTTCCATAAAAGAAAAGCATACGTTTTATTCTTTTGTCAGAATAAGTGTATTCATATGAATATACTTGATAGTTTATGACAGTGTTAATTGGCAAAAAGTGGCTAAGTAGCCCTGCTGACTACAGGACCACGGCAACAGATAAAGGATCTGATCCTGGTTTGCTGTGTGATAAGCACTTTCACTAGCATGGTCAAATAACTGAAGGAATTTGATGCCGTGCTATTACTGAGACGTAGTTGCAGGTGGACACCTGTATTTCTGATATTTTTCACCTTCATTTCTCTAATACTGATAATACTTGTGTCAGCTTACCATTCGTAGAAGGAGTGAATTCACTGTAACAGTGAATTAGGAAATGTTTCTGGGATGCTTGCAAAATGCAAAGATTGCAACTATTATTTTCTTCACCGAGTGAAAACAGCTACAGACTGACTCACTCAGCTCATGCCACGAGAGCATTTATGTCCAAATTCTGAAGACACGCAACCAGCTGCCGACCAACATCATCAAATATCTTTAAAGGGCACATTATTAAGTTCTTAGTTTAATCTTCTTAAAGCAAAATGTTACTGAACTGGCAGAATCACTCTTAAATGACCCATGTTGCTAGCAGGTATTGTACTGTGAAAAATTAGTGCTCCTTTTCCAAGTAACCAACAAAGAAAGCTACCAAGCAATGCAGGAGAGGTACGTTTGTGCACTTTAGTTGCCTCTTAGTGCCACTTAAAGAACCCTAAGGAGTTGCAGACATTGTTTACCTGGTTAAGCAGGGTTTGCAAGTACTTGGTGACACTGACGTGATATAAAAAACCTGAAGCGTACTGGTTGATCTAGTTCAGTGCTTTCTGCTCAAATGGCATCACCTGCATCTCCATGAGATTTCAGTATAACCATTATTAATAATTTAGGACACTTTACTAAATTTTATGAGTATCTAATTCACGTTTAAATTCATATCTGGGTATAACTTCACACTATATTCCTATTTTTGTCTTCCAGTATCCTTGTTGGGACAATGTCAGTATATGTTTGTGCTCATTTTGCAGCGGTTGACAATGATGCGGGTTAGGAAACAAGAGGATTCCTGCTCTAAGTAGTAGACAAGGTTCTCTTTGTTACTCAGTTTCATTTATTTGCTCCATTTCTAAAGTGCAAATTAAAACCAAGGTGTTTCCCTGCTTCCTTAGAAAAGTCAAGGATACCTGTATTAATTAAACAATTAAAAAATATATGTAATTTAAAGAACTGTGAGCTCCCTGATTGTGGGATTAGCAAACTTGCGTACTTGTCCTCCTCAGTCACTGGAAAGAACACGACTGCAATTGCTGATCAATCTAGAATAACAAACTCTGGAAGATTTGAGATCATTTTTAAACAGCCCTATATCATCATCCCCACAGTAAAAATTATGTGGTTCCTGTGGTATTGCAGTGCTTTTGTTTTCCACTTTGGCCTTGATTTTCTGATTTACTTAGTGAACCAACTAATACCTCCTGGAGGTCCATCCACTGCCACTTCCCATTATCTGGTGGCACACTCATTCTCACTGGGGAAGTTCACTGATCTTTGCTGTGACCTTCCCTGAGTAGAGCTCTTTTTTCTCTGTCAGGCTTTTCATGACACTTTCTAGCTGCCCGTCCCCCCGTGTCACAGACAAATGCACAGAGAGGCACAGGAGTCAGAAATTTTATAGCCCATTCACGATCCTTGATTTATGTCCATGCTGTATTCCTGCTGTCCTCCCAACTCCTCCAAAGTGATGCAAGGCTGGGAGTGCGTAAGGCGAGCAAACAAGGGCAGAAGGAGAGGTCAGCGATGTCTCATGGGTCAGATGGCTGCTGCAAAAGAACCAGAGCAGCTGGCAGCTGAGACAGCTGCTGCTTAGGAGGAAAATGGCCACTGAATTTGACATTACTTAATTAAGAGAGTGCCTTAGCTCGGGGTCCCCGTCTTTGCTTCTCTACAGTGCAGCAGTGGGGGCTGGGCAATCCCAATTTCCCAGTGAAGCTCCTGGGTATTGTAGCTGTCTTCTGTTCAGGCTCATTGAAGACACAATTAAATGCCTCTTTGTTCATTGATAGCTGAAACAATGCAAAAATACCACCCAGGAGCCAGACCAGATGCAAATGTGCACTGTTGTGGCTTGGCACTTACCGAGATTCTCCTATCAAATGCAACAGATACGTAGGTTGTGTGTGTCTGTATGGGCATGTAAAAAAAGAGCACCTGCAAAACCATCACAAACGCAAAGACAAATGTCTCAAAGATGGCCACAAAAATATATGTAGCGTCATCTTAAAAAGTAAGAAGACAGCCCTGTAGGAAACATTACCCAGAGCAAAAGACAAACCTGAGGTCAAAGCAAAATAGTCTTCCCCCCCCGCAGAGGGGGGAAAAAAAAAGTCTTTTTAAACACCCTTTGTAAATGAACAGAGGTGCATTAAAGAAATACCTGTCTCCATTTTTCCTCTTAAAGGATTTCAGGTTAAGTGCAATTCTGTAAGTCTAAAGGCATTGGAATATATTTTAAGCCCCTGCATCACTCTTTTTCCTTCCATTGGTGCAGATGCAAACTAGACTGCTGAAAGGCCCACTCCAGCCACAGTCCAGGCTGCAGCATGCATACTTAAAGCTAATTCCAAGCATGCTTTAGCTATGGTGAAAAGGAAGATCCTGCACATTCTTTTGTTTTGATTGTTCAAGTTGCACTGCCTCTTGAAGCATCTGTATTAATACAGCACATGAAAATTACTGCTGTGATTTAAGAATGGTTCTCTCTGCATTCAAGAGCACTCTTCCGCTATCCAAGAAGCTTGGCATTTTCCAAGATACGCATATGAAACTGGTTGTTTTATAATCGGACAAGATCCAAGGAAAACGTGCTGCATCTTTGTAAACAAAATGATGTTTTATAAAAAGCATTCCTGTTTAACCAATAAGTTGCAAGCTTTAAAGAGAGAAACTCCACTGTTTGTAATAGTTGAAAGAATCCATAAATGTGTCTTGAGGTGGTGAAAAATTTTATTCTTTACTATGGAAACACAATAAAAATCATGGAGTGAAGTTCTGGTCCAGTGAATTCAACAGGAATGTTACTGATACCAACAGAGATTTTACTCTGTGTCATTAGAGTCAAGACCGTAAAAGGTAGACTTTAAAGTAGTAAAATACGGTCAGTATTTTATTTCCACTTTGGATATCGTGGACAATACTGTGAGACATTAAAAATTCTTTTTACTTTCAGGTTTCAAAATCAAATTAAGATGATCAGATTTTTAATCACATAAAGTGCAGAGATTCTAACTCACTGAAGCGAGGGCCCCCTCCATTTCCACTCAAACCTGTGCAATACAGGCCTGCAGTTCAATTAGAGCTTATACTTGCACACCTCTGACTTGGATGCCACACTTTGCAGAATGAAGCAGATGCTCCTAACAACTACTTAAATTCACACTGGAAACTGATAAATCCCTGAAGTGTATGAGGATTACTGAAGATGAGATATTCAGCATTTCTTTACTTCAGCCCCTTCTCTTTTTCCACTATAACTTCAAGGGGGGGGTGTGGATTTTCTGGTTGTATTGATGATTCCTCTTTGCCTTCTATCTTA